AACAAGCAAGCCAAGGAAGAGAAGAAGAAGAACAGGGACGCCGCGGCCGCCATCGCCGCCTCCGTGCCCCCCGTCCCGCCCGCCGCCGCCAAGCTCACCCCTCTCCAGCGCTCCATGCGCCAGAAGCTCGTCTCGGCCCGCTTCCGCCACCTCAACGAGACGCTCTACACCCGCCCCTCGGCCCAGGCCTACCAGCTCTTCGAGGACTCGCCCGAGATGTTCTCCGAGTACCACGAAGGCTTCCGCCGCCAGGTCGAGGTCTGGCCCGCGAACCCCGTCGACGGCTACATCCGCGACATCAAGCTCCGCGCCAAAGGCCGCTTCCCCAACGCCGGCGGCCGGGGAGGAGGACGCACCGGCGGCGCACCACCGGCCGCCAACGGCCCTCAACCTCTGCCCCGCACCGACGGGACGTGCTACATCGCCGACCTGGGCTGCGGCGACGCCCGCCTCGCCTCGACCCTCGAGCCCGAATCCAAAAAGCTCAAGCTCCAAATCATGAGCTACGACCTCCACTCCCCCGCGAAACACGTCACAAAGGCCGACATCGCCAGCCTCCCCCTCGAAAACGATTCGGTCGACGTCGCCATCTTCTGCCTCGCCCTCATGGGCACGAACTGGCTCGACTTCATCGAGGAGGCCTACCGCATCCTCCACTGGAAAGGCGAGCTCTGGATCGCCGAGATCAAGTCCCGCTTCGGCCCCGTGTCCCGCAAGAACGCCGTCGTCTCGCACAGCGTCGGCAACCGCAAAAAGGCCGCTGCAGCTGCTGCCGCAGGCAAGAAGACAATGGAACCCGAGGAAACGGAGGAGGTCCGCACGGCTCTCGCCGTCGAGGTCGACGGCCACGAGGACAAGCGCGGCGAGACGGACGTCTCCGCTTTTGTCGAGGCGCTGAGGAAGCGCGGCTTCGTCTTGGCGGGCCAGGGCGAGGGCAACAAGGGCGCCGTGGACCTCTCCAACAAGATGTTTGTCAAGATGCACTTCATCAAGGGCGCCGTGCCTACAAAGGGCAAGGGTCTTGCCGCGGCCAAGGCGGCCGGCTACGTGGAGAAGAAGGAGAAGCAAAAGAGGTTCGTGTGGGAGACGGAGGAAGACAGGGTCGATGAGACGGGTATCCTGAAGCCCTGCGTGTACAAGATCCGGTAGTAAACTGGCCGGTTGTATATTGTTCTTGCAAGGTTTTGGTACATAAAAGTTGTCTTTACTTGGGGCTAATATCACATTTATCGAAAAAGGCATATATTTCGTAATTGCGACTAGACGTATTGGAATTCAGCTGAGTGTACTGTGACTACCCTGTAGAGGACTACAGCGAATGCTGTCAAGTGTAATGGTCCACACGAGCACGGGCAAGTTTCAAAGGCTCAGGTGGCATAACCTGAAATTCAAAGTACCGAGTGTGTCTATCAAAACGCTTTAAACGCATATCATGTCGAGCTGAGCATGCATGATACGACGACTCCAAGTCATCCCTCCTCCCCATCCCTAGATGTCCCATAACCGTGCGGTCCGACCATGCAGGCCCATTGCAACCAAAGAATTTCCGATACGCCCCTAATCCAGTCTATGCCCCGAATAAGAGACCAGCAGCGAACTCGACATTGCCACCTGTGGCTTGCAAAGCATTGATCGCGGCTTCACGTGGGAAACCCAGAGCCATCAGCTGGTTGATGTGCTCTTCCGGGAAAGTTGGCGTCGCAGGCTGCTGCTGGGGTGCTGGACGACCCTGTGGAAGGGTTTGCTGCGTCGGCACGGCAGCAGCAGCGCCTTCGGGACCACTGACAACACCAGAGCGCTGACCGATGGTCGTCCCAGCTGGGCCAGGCAGTCTGGGTTCTTCCTCCAGAGCCTCCTCACTCTCCTTGGGAATCTCCGCTTCACCCAAGAACGACACTTCCTCGCCCTGAATGATTAGCTTGTCCTTGGCTAAATCAATGCTGGCTTGGTAGCGCTTAAGCATGTCGAGGCCAAGGAGAAGCTCGACCTGTTTGCCCTCCATGACGGTGAAACTGCAAGGCAGGAACATGGTGCCGACCTTGATCTGGGCAGAGTGTACGCGTCCGATGATGTTAGCTGTGCCCACACCACGAGCCACGCCCGCAAACCGTTTGTCGACGAGCCTCATGATGCCGCAGGCTTCGGCACATGAAGGGGACATGATGGTTGCCTGTGCTCCAGAATCGACCAACGCCTTTACTCTATGGCCGTTCACCTCGACGTCAACATATAGCATGTGTACTCGTCCGAATACTATGTAGTGTTAGCCTTTAGGCCCGCACTCGTTACGCGTTGGGTTGTCTGCCATACCTTCAGGGTTGTGCTCCATGGCATTTTGGAGGTTTTCCATAACTCTCTCTTGACGGATCATCTCTTCAATTTTCTGCTGAGCTTCGACATCGAAAGGATCCTCGTTCAGGCGTGCAATCTGCCTCTGGCGCTCTTCGCGGTCTCGCTGCTCACGGTCGTAGCTCTGGTTGAAAAGTTGGGCGAATCTCTGGGGATCATCGAGCACGGCGGCAAGCTGGGGCTGCTGGCGGGTGGCTTCTGCACGTAGGTTTGGGTCGCCCAGGATCTGGAGGCGAATGAGCTCTGGATCCTGTCCTCCTGGTCGCCGGCGCTGCTGCTGCGGTGCCCTTCTGCCCTGATCCGGCAAACCAGTGGTTCCTTGCATGTCCCTCACGTGTAGCGCCAACATCTCGCCGTCGGCAATCTGCAGCTGTTCCATCGTCTGAGTATCATCTTGGATCAAGCGACCGTTGTGGTAGAGGTGTTGGGAAGTGGGTGCGATGTTGGTCTCGGCTTGAATAGCTTCGCGGAGTGTGGACATGGGCATGTCAGGAAAGATCTCGAGGGTTAAGAGATCCTGGTCCTCGACCTCGGGGTTCGTTATGCTAAGTGTGATGCGCCTGTTGGAGGGGAGAGCAGTCAGCGGAGAACGTGTCAAGTCCCGACAAAGCAGCAAGGCTTACATGATGGAATCTTGTTCCTGGTGCACAGGCAGGAGCTGTTGGCCGCTGGTTTGATCGGGTGATGAAGGAAATGGACTGGCGGCGAGAAGAATGAAAGAGGCCGGTTCTGATCCAGGGAAAGCGTCGGGTTTCACTGTTGCGAAAGCGAAGTTGAAGTTACCCTCAGCACGGAGCTGCGGAGGAGGGGTGTTGGAGGGGCCGAAATTCAGGCAACACAACAGTGACGTCTCATCCGGAAAGTAAACAGCTGCTAGATGGACGATTGGATGAAGTAGAGCTCCGCGAAAAGTTTCGAGGTGACTGCGCAGCCTTGTAGCGGTGGTGAACGATTGGACAGGTGGTATCTGATGTGTTGAGAGACACTTGGTCTCAGAGGTCGGATCTCAAGGTAAGGTGGAAGGGAGCCGGGGGAGGTAGGGGAAGGTAAAGGCAAGGTAGAGCTCGGCTACTTGAGGTACCTTTCTGAGTGTTTCGTAAGGAAGGTGGGTGCAGTGACGAGACTCCTGGGCTACGTTTCCCCGTTTGCAGTGGCTCAAGATGGAGTCGACGGGGAGTCAGGATGGGGAATGTATCCGTCCCATTTACTGCGTACTAAGGTAAGGTAGAATGGGGCGGCTGGAATACAAACACTGTGAAGCAAACCTGTGAGTTCCCAAGGAATACCTTACCTATCCGCACCGGTACCTAAGAGACGGGAGGGAAAGCACTGGCCACGGAAGGAGATGGCGGACAGAAGCTCATGGAAGGCTTCGGGAACTTCTCCGCTTACACCTTACCGTACAGATACCCGACTGTGTGTTTCCTGTCAGCCAGACGCATGCTTTGTTTTGTTTTCTTCACTCTGGGCATATTTGTGCGTCAATCTCTGCCTCTCAAGGCATCTATGTACTCACTTGGCCGCAGCAAGGAGGTCATTGATTACTTGAGCTTCCCAGTTCCAAGGTTGCTGAGGTCACAGCAGCACGGGCAGGTTCCCCCACGGCATATCAGCCCCACGAGCTAATCGTTGACTAAGCCATCAAGTGTCTCCAAAGTATCTCTGAGAGCAAACCAGGTGGGAGATGGCGCAATTAAGTACTTGGCCTATACCTGCGGCAGCTGCGCGAGCCAAGCAAGCGACCTCAACAACCCTTGCAATCGACTCGTGTACTTCCTTCTGGACCAGGTACAAGAAGACGTGAGAATCCCCGAGAATCCCCTCTTTATTTCTATTTTTCTGCACTTGGATCTTTTTCCTTTCTTGTGCCGAACTGACATGTCACAGATCCTCAGATTGTGCCGCCAATCGATGTCTAGCAGCGACATCTCCTGCCACCTCCGCCCGTGGGTTTCTGTGCGATGATGACAAGCCTACGAGCACTTCAAATTGCCGCTGCTCGAGGCAGAGAAACACCTGCTCCCTCGCTTAGAATATTCGTCCATTTTTTCTTCCCTGGAGCCATGACGAAGAACGTCTATCACGTCCTACCTTAATGTTCGACGATGGATGCGGCCTGAAACGAAAATACTGCATCAAGTTTCTTCTTCTTCATCACCCCATGCTGAAGAGGTCCCAGCATCGACCTGCCTACGATCTCGCTGCTCACGCTCCACTCGAAGAGCAGTCTCGCAGGTCTGGATCGAGTCAATGACAATGCATAGCTTGTTTAGACGGCGACTGCAAGGACCGGGGATTTTGTCCTGGACGGAATGTTTATGATCTGACGGCACGGAATCATGATTCCAAGCTGCCATGGCTCCCGCTGATATCTCGCATGCGACCTTTCAAAGGCAAGCAGAGATCGGCGTGCCAACCTCGCTTCGCTGGAGGGTCGGAACTGCACAGCTCGGATGCCGGCCTTGAAGTCGGTCGGATCCGGCTTCCGGTGGTGGCCGCATTCCGGGTTCTCGACGTTGTTTAGTTGCAATGCTCCGCGTCCTCGTACTTGGTGCAGTATGCGCTCTCAGCCTCTGCAACCCACACCAATTCATTAGGAAGGTCCATGACCACAGCCCAGGCGGGTTGACTCATAACTTACAACTCAGAAAGCCTTCGGACTTCGCCCATCTGACATGGTGGAAAGCCCCCAAAAGTGCCTCAGGGCCCTTCCTAGACCTCATTGAGCCTGCTGCATATGCTGCATATGCTGCATTGCGGCGGGGCAATGCAACTCTGGATCGCCGACCCGGAAAGATTCTCGAAGTCGATGCTGCAGTTATGTCCATTTCGGTGAAGGCCTGCAGCTGTCAACATGCCACGGCGAAAAGTTTTTCGTCTGCTTGCTTCGGCCTCGGGGTTGCAGCTGTCTTATTAGCCAAGATCCAGACGAAAGCCAAGGTCCATGCAGATCGACAGGCTCAGGGTCTTCTTGCCTACACAGTATGGTGTTGCTGCGGATATTCCAGTATTCAAAGATATACCATCGCCTTCTAGGATGACGTACAGGTTCCATACGACTCAACGGCGGGCTGGTGTGCCGTACAAGTGTCAAGCACACCGCAGCAGCCGCAGTCAGGGGAAGGGAGCAACAAGCATGCCGGCCAAGACCCAACTAAGGTAAGTCGCTCGCCCATCCACACGAATCCAAAAGTCTGATTCTACATTGCACCGCACTCCTCTTTTCAAAATTTGTCGTTGCAGTCGCTGACAGTGCCTAGATCTTGTTCGGTTTCTGTCGGCTGCATTGGCCAAAAGCAGCCTCAACCTGACGGGACGGACCAACAATTAGCGGTCTGGAAGCAAACAGCGCGTTGCTCAGTCCGCCAAAGACCAGATATCACAACGCTAAAATCCCAGGAAAATCATAATCATTCACTCTTCAGACGAGATGCAACCCTGAGGTTATGTACTCACGAACTCTGTGCTTGTACCCTGACAGGCGTAGGTAAGACTGATCTCACCGGCAGCATCGGAGCATGGAGTGATGTTGAAGTTGGCTTACTGTGGGGAAACAAGTACAAGTCAGGTCACTTTCTCTCTCTCAGGTCTTCCCTTGATCCCAACCGACTTTGCCCTATGTGCAAGCCTTTTCAAGCACCTTTTTCGGTTTTACCCTGTCCTTGGGCGATGACCTGGGTCGAAAGAAAGCAACAGTACCCATTGTTACCCGCCATGCCCTGCAAAGAAGACCTTTTCCGCAATCCCATCTCAAAAAGCTGGGATGCCACAACTCGGGGAAGTTTTCTGGGAAGAGTGGGAAATAAGATGGAGCCGGGCAACAATTCCAGAGTCGCCTGGAAATACCCATGGGCTGAACAGGCCACAACTGTGCCACTGCGGGTAGGTCAGTCACGCGACAAACACCTCATAACCACAACCACACCTCACACAGAGTGTCCAATGATGGAGGGGTGTTGCTCTGCCATGGCCCATGGCAAGTCACTGAACTCCAATTCCCTCCAGTTTCCTCTTTGGCTGCTGCAATACCAATCCCATTTTCTACCAACTCCACACCTTTCTGTTTGGTCTGCAGCCAGGTTACTCCTCTTTTTGCAATCCCGTTATCGCCTTCACAGCTCAGGTTCACTTGACTTGTCCCAACGCTTTGTCCCCTCTCCGCTGTGGACCACCTAATCTGACCTTAGCCTTTCTGAGACGTCTTCCCTCCTCCGTTGTCCGACACCCACTGCCCCGAGCTAAGGTGCTCACTCAGCCTTGCTTATCGGCACACACCGGCCGGGCATTACTTGACTCACAGCCCCGTCAGGCCCCGCTCTGCAACGACAGCGCCGAGTCCAACGGCCGGCAGCATCCCGATGCCCCTCCGGAGCTACGTGTGCACTCGCCTAACCAGCCCCGTGAACCATCACTGCAAGGAACCAACAGCACCCGCCTCTTCTGGTTGATACCCTGAAGCGTGCTCTTGCCTTGTTTGAAACATTGAGTCCCTCTATCTACCAGCTGACGGGGGTAATTTGACCCAACAAGCCGCCCTCTAGTTGATTCCATCGCCTCGCTTCTTCTCTCTGTGTAACCAACAACTCCTCCCACTTCCAACTTCCCTCTCCTCCAACTTTGCCCAGCTCTTTGCAAAATCCCATACGTCGTCCTGATCCTCCTCATTCTCATACCCCTCTTCCACTACCGCATTCTCTCCCTTACGCATCATACACGTCTCCCCCGATCCTTCGTCATCATGCCTGACGAGAAAGACCCCCCGGTCGCCAAGCCTGAGGAGGCGTCCGACTGCGCCATCGACAGTTCTGATGAGGCCGACGACGAGTACATCGAGGCTCAAATGTCCCAGTCAGAGCTGAAGAAGAAGCAACAGACGCAGCGTCGGACGATCCAGCATATCGTTCCTTTCAAATGGAGCCCTTTGGTGTTGCCTCTGACCGAGTCGAACCTCGAGTCTTGCGTCGCCCTCGAGGACGCTGCGTTCACTGACCCGAGTCATCGCGCTACCCGCGTCAAGGTGAGCCGATTTTTCCTATCTTTCTCACTCCTCGCTTTGGTCTCTTTGCCCCGTCCTCTCTCGTGCCCTCGAGTCTCGGTTCGCTGAGCATGAAACTACGGACGACTCAACTCATCCTGGTATGAGAGTTATGCGAGCTTCAAGCCTTGGCGGGCAGACAAGTCGCGTGACATCTCACGGGCAGGTCACCACGTATCAAGGTTCACTCGAAGCTTACACACCCCATCTTAGTTCATGTACCGCCTCGCGACCTGCTCAGATATCTCCACAGGTCTCTTCTGCAGCGTCGTCCCGGCCGAGGCCGAGGCATTCCCCCTCTCGACCATGACCGTCGCCAGCCCCGTCGAGACAGGTCGCGCCAACGGAGCCAAGCTGGTCCTACTCGGCCACGCCGTCGCGACCCTTGGGGATGGCCCCGTCGTCAGCGACGACGACATGGCCTACCCGGACAACTGGCGCGATCAAAAGTCCGCCAAGAGCACGGATGTCGGCCACAAGATCATGGGCCGCACCCTGTGTCTGCATTCCTTCGCCATCGACCCCAAGGTCCAGGGCTTGGGTCTCGGCAAGCTTCTCATGAAGTCGTACCTGCAGCAGATCAACAACTCTGGTGTTGCGGATCGCGTTGCGCTGATCTGCAAGGACGTAAGCTCCTCTAGCGCACCGAGTGACCCTGACTCTTGGATCTTGCAAAATACTGACGAATCGGCAGTGGTTGGTTAGCTACTACCAGCGCTTCGGCTTCAAGCGCGTCGGTCCCAGCAAAGCGTCATTCGCTGGCGGCGGCTGGAACGACATGGTAAATCACCATGCTGTTTGTCATTCCTTGTGGCGGATTGACTAACATCCTTTCAGGTCATTGAACTCTCAGGCCCGCCCAAGAAGGGTCCCGATGCCCTCAAGGCGCGCGCCGAGTAGTGCCGTCGCCGTCACCGTCGCTGAGGCCATTCTAGGACTTTTCTTCATCTTTTTCGCAGTCTTATCCGATGAGTCTCGGCCATCCGAGCTCTAGACGAGACAAAAACCTCTGTTTGTTTTGAGATGAGCAAATCAGAAGGAATGGGGAGTGGTATACTGAGTGGGTTGTCAACTGGGACAACCTCACATTTGCATGATGGCTTTGCTTTTTTCTTCCTTTTTCTTTTGTTACCCAAGTCAACGTTGTCGAGTTACCACGAGATTTTCAAATCTCGAAAAAGGGTGGTAACATCATGAAGACGACAGGGCCGGAGACTACCTTACGATGAGGACATGACATAGAATGCCTTGCCACCCGGAAGGGAAAGAGCAAGGCAAAATTAAGATACGATCTTTCACGGTGTCCCCTGTTCAGCCTTTATTCTATACGTGAGGTTTTGCAGGTGCTGCAAAGTCACTTCCCAAATCACTTTTATCATCCTATGCGCCTTGACCCGAGGGGTCCTATAAAGTTCCCTTCATTCCATCCCTACGAGCGCCGGCCGTTGAACACGATGTTCATGATATCACGCCTGCCCCAAAAGCAGACTACCATTGCCTCTTTCCGGCTCTCAACATTTAGTCGGTGGCCTTGTACTTGGCACGGTACTCCTCAGTGCGCTTGATATCATCAGCAGACGCAAAGCTCTTGGCGCCCTCAATAATGTCGTCGAGCGTCAGGATGGCAAAGATGGGAATGCCATACTCCTTCTTAATCTCGCCCATGGCGCTGGGGCCAGGCTTGCTGTCGTCGCCGTCCGCAGCAGGGAGCTTCTCCATGCGGTCGAGCGCGACGACGATGCCCACAACCTCGCCGCCCTCCTTGCGGATCTTGGCAATCGCCTCACGCTTGGCGGTGCCGGCGGTGATGACGTCGTCGACGATGAGCACCTTCTTGCCCTTGAGCGGCGCGCCGACAATGTTGCCGCCCTCGCCGTGGTCCTTTGCCTCCTTGCGGTCGAACGAGTAGCACGTCGTGACATAGTTTTCGGGGTCCAGCTCGGCGAGCTTGTCCGTCGTCGAGGTCGCGAGCGGGATGCCCTTGTAGGCCGGGCCGAAGACGATGTCAAAGGTCAGGCCGGAAGACTTGCGGGCCTCGATGACGGTGTGGGCGTAGGCGACGGAGATGGCGCGGAGGAGGTCGGCGCGGTAAAAGTCGCCGGCGTTGAAGAAGTAGGGGGAGATGCGCTTCGACTTGAGCTCAAAGGAGCCGAACTTGAGGACGCCGCCGGCGATGGCGGCCTTGAGGAAGTCCTGCTTGTACGGGGCGAGTTGGGAGGACATCTTGGCGGGATTTTGGTTACGGGGGGAATTGGTTGGAGGAGGGTTTATCAAGGGGAATATGTTGGTCTTCCAGGAGTTTTGCTTGTCGGAGGCTGGAGGATGAAAGATCTCAAAATTGGAGGGAACTTGCTCCGCGGTTCGGATACCCCTCCATTCAAGTCTGCCCCGCGGAGAGGCCCCACCAAGCAAAATTTATTGCGATAAAGTTGTGATAAGAGGAGGAATCCGCACCGCCGGACCCTGCATGGCTTCAACCAGCCGAGACGGACTCTCTGATGGTTTGATCTACTGGGGCAATTTAGACCGCAATTATATCAAGAAGTTGACGAACTTCTGGAAATCAATCATTATAGCTTTAAGAGTGCGATCAAGATACACACTCAAGTGGGCAAGGTACCTATGGTAAGGTAGTTGTGACCATCAGCGTTGATTCTTGAGTGCACGACCAAAACCTCTGAGCGGCCACTAATGGCATGGGGTCCCCCGCCCCACCTATCCGTGCCGATAAGATAAGCGAACGAGAGAGAAAAAAATTCGAGTGCAGAACACCGCCCCCCGTCCCAAACACCTTCGCGCAGTTCACCGACGGTGCATCTTGACCGATCGCAACATCTGAGGACTGCTTCAAGTTTTTTCCCACGCAGACCCCCAGCCGCCCAAAATGAAGACTCAGTGAGTTGTAACCTTGCCACATGCGATCACTTTCAAAGAGGAGCGACATTGCAGAAAAAAAAAACATTACCAGTCTTTTGCTAACCATTGCTTTGCGCGGGCAGGTGGAAGGATCTCCCCCCGGTCCCCAACTCGCAAGAGTTCCTCGACATTGTCCTCTCGAGGACGCAGCGCCGGCTGCCGACCCAGATCCGTTCGGGTTTCAAGATTTCTAGAATCAGAGGCTTCTACACCCGCAAGGTCAAGTTCACCCAGGAGACCATCAGCGAGAAGCTCGGCCTGATCATCGAGTCGTTCCCTCGCCTCAACGACATCCACCCCTTCCACAAGGACCTGATCAACACCCTCTACGATGCCGACCACTTCAAGATCGCCCTCGGTCAGCTCTCGACCGCGAAGCACCTCATCGAGACCATCTCCAGAGATTGTGCGTAGATCCAGCTCTTTCAAAAGGCATTCCACCCGTGTGAGGGGAAGGCGATTTTCGATTTTGGGAGGGGAAATGCAAGTGGCTAACCTGGTGCAATTTGTATAGACGTCCGTCTCCTGAAGTATGGCCAGTCGCTGTTCCAGTGCAAGCAGCTGAAGCGCGCCGCGCTTGGTCGCATGGCGACGCTTATCAAGCGCCTCAAAGACCCTCTGGTTTACCTCGACCAGGTTAGACAGCGTAAGTGGCAATCCGACGACATTGGAGCGCACACAAGAGGTTTTACTGACTGCGAGAACAAACAGATCTTGGCCGTCTCCCCTCGATCGATCCCAACACCAGAACCCTTCTCATCACGGGTTTCCCCAACGTCGGAAAGTCTTCTTTCCTCAAGTCCGTCTCCAGAGCCGACGTCGATGTCCAGCCGTATGCCTTCACAACGAAGTCGCTCTTCTGCGGTCACTTTGACTACAAGTACCTTCGTTTCCAGTGCATCGATACCCCTGGTATTCTCGACCACCCTCTCGAGGAGATGTAAGTAAAATCTCGACATTCATAACTCAGGAGAGGGAACCCCAGAAACTGACAGTCCTCACAGGAACACCATTGAGATGCAGTCCGTCACCGCCATCGCCCATCTGCGATCCGCCATTCTTTACTTCATGGATCTCAGCGAGCAGTGCGGCTACTCCATCCAGGCCCAGATCAACCTCTTCCAGAGCATCAAGCCCCTGTTCCAGAACAAGATCGTCTTCATCGTCGTCAACAAGATCGACGTGGTCAAGCCCGAGGACCTCGACGCCGCGACCCAGGCCCAGCTCCAGGGCCTCCTCAAGTCGGGCGAGGTCGAGATGCTCCTGCTCTCCTGCAACACCCAGGAGGGCGTCCAGAACGTCAAGAACACCGTCTGCGAGCGCCTCATTGCCGAGCGCGTCTCCCAGAAGCTCAACGCCGGCACCAACGCCAGCGGCAACATTGGCGGCCGCCTCGCCGACGTCATGGCGCGTATCCACGTGGCCCAGCCCGGCACCAGCCAGCCCCTCCAGACCTTCATCCCCGAGGGCATCAAGAACATGAAGAAGTACGACAAGGAGGACCCGGAGCGCCGGAGGCTCGCAAAGGACGTCGAGGTCGAAAACGGCGGCGCCGGCGTCTACAGCGTCGACATGCGCCAGGACTGGCTCCTCGCCAACCCCGAGTGGAAGCACGACAAGATCCCCGAGGTCTTTGACGGCAAGAACGTCTACGACTTTGTCGACCCGGACATCGAAGCCAAGCTCCAGGCCCTCGAGGAGGAGGAGGAGCGCCTCGAGAAGGAGGGCTACTACGAGTCGGACGAGGACCTCGACGACGAGGAGGAGGCCGACATCCTCTCCAAGGCCGAGATCATCCGCGAGAAGCAGGCCCTCATCCGCAACGAGGCCAAGATGAAGAAGCGCCTCAAGAACCAGGCCATCATCCCCCGCAAGTCCCAAAAGGTGCCCCTGTCCCAGATGGACGACGCCCTCGACCAGCTCGGCGTCGACACCACCGACATTGTCAACCGCGCCCGCGCCCAGTCCCGCCCCCGCGGCCGCTCCTCCGGCCTCTCCCGCGCCGGCACCGAGGACGTCGACATGATGGACACGGACGCCACCCCGCGCGAGCGCCTGCGCTCCCACAGCCGCGCCCGCAGCCAGAGCCGCGCCCCCATCGTCAACAGGCGCGAGGACGGTGTCCAGGACGACGAGGCCCGCGACAAGGCCGACCGCCTCGCCAAGCTCTCCCAGAAGAAGCGCAACCGCATGGCGAGACAGGGTGAGGGTGATCGTCACACCACCGTATCGCTGCAAAGGCATTTGGTAAGTCTTACTCACGCACAAACTGGAATACTATATCCAAAGTTGAAAAGCAAAACGCTAACCAAATTTCTTCTCTACTACAGGTTGCCGGCAAGCGTGGCCTCGGCAAGAACCAAAGACGTTGAGAAACCCACCACCACTGCCACCGCCAGCAGCGGGAAGGCGGGGGAAAAAGACGGTAATGGATGTTTACGGAAAGAGAATAAAAGTAAATATGCTTCATTATTTTTCGAAAAGGGGGCATGGAGGGCGTTTTGCGGTCTTTTTTGTTTCGTTTGCTGCTGCTACTGCCTTGTTTTTGTTTTCTTCATTCCTTCAATTCTCTTGCGGACACAAAATCACATCACATCACATCCGAAGAGGTCGTCGGTATGAGGCTCCTATGTGTTGGGAAGCTACGAAGGAGATGGGAGAAAAGGAGACGGGGAAATTTCTGTGATGTCTTTTTTTGAGAAACGTATATCAAAAAAAGCGTCGTAGCATTACCAGCTTTACGTGTGTCTAGATGTTTGTTGGCTTTTCCAAAGCTACAAATCAAGGACCATTGAATATCCTGAATGAGAAACCTAAAATAAACCACTAGAAGACTTGAAGTGATTCCGTTTGTGAGCATTGTACTGCAAGTATCATAAAACATTGCACCAATTTTGTAGTCAGACAGAACCACAAGAAATGCAGTAAAATGGCTTGAATAACTTTGAAGAGCACCACCCTCAGATGTTTACGTCCAAGATAATATATATCTACCCCGGATTGTCGTCTGTTATAATGTGCGAGGACTTAATGCCTCTCAGACTTGCCCCCTACTCCCCTCACCCGCTTTAAAGCAAAAGTTCCATTAAGGCATCCCCTTACGCTTACTGCTCATCCGCAACTTGCAGGCCCTCTCTCAGACCCTCAACCTTGAGCTCCTCGCCAGTGGCGCGGCGGTAGATATCCTTGACGTCGTCGGTCGTGCTCTCGAAGTGACTGCTGGCGTCGTAGCTCTTGGAGACGAAGACGTTGTCGCCGGTACCGTCGTCCGTGGGCTCGTAGATGGGGATCGGGGCGCCCTGAAAAGAATTATTAGTATCCTGCTCTTTACACGGCGCGGGCTCGGGCTTCTCTCTTACCATGAACTGCTCCTCAATCTTGCCGAGGCGCTCCAGACCGGGCTGAAGCTCGACGTGATGGTTAGCGTTCGACTCGGCAATGGTTGAGACGATGGCAATCCAGTAGCCCTTGGGGCAAACGTTGTGTGCCGATGAGACGCAAGCGATGTAGATATCTAGCTCAAGTCAGTTACACATTCAGAGCTCACTATTCCAAGTACCTGAACCTACCGTTCTTGCGGCCAATCTGGGATTGGGGAATGATGAGCTGGGAAGAGTCGGCGTCGTTGGTGCCGGCCAGGGGGTGCTTCAGGATGCAGATGGCGCGCAGAACCTGTCCGACAACCTTGACCTTTCCGGGGAAGTAGCTGGGGTCACCAAGGATCATCTTGGCCTTGGTCTCGAACTTCATCTCCTCAACGCCAGTCATAGTGGCCTTGATACCGACAGCCTTGCCGCCCTCGTACTGCACCTCGTCGACGTTCGTGTTGAGCATGTAGGTACCGCCGTAGATGGCCGACAGGCGGGCGAAGCCCTGGGGAAGCTCGCCGAGACCGTAGAGAGGGTAGATGTAAGGAGACTTGCCGTAGCGGGACACAGAGGTTCCATACAGGCGGATGCGCTCAATGGCCTCCGGGGCGCCACCGGGCTTGGTGAGGTACTCGTCGGTGGTGAAGAGAGCCATGGCGTGGCCGATGAAGTCACGGGTACCGGTCTCGAGGCCAAACTTGTCGTAAACCTCCTTCATGGTGACCTTGTTGATGTCGAGGCCTGGCGCATAGTTGTCAGTCTAGTCCCACGATCCTTCGATGCCTCGTAACGCCGAAACTCACCCTTGTGTGTGCCGGGGTCCTTGCGGTCAAAGGTGCCGATCCACTCGATGAAGCTCTTCATGCGGCGCTTCTCGAAGATGCCCATCAAGGGCGAACGCAGAGCCTCGCCGGCATCGGAGGGAACCTTGGCAACAGTAGCCTTGGAGCTCTGGCCCTGCTGAACGTAGCTGCCCGCGACCTGCTTGAACTCGAGGTATCGTGTCACGTCGGTCGAGACGAGAATGTTTGTCAACTCGCCCGCGGACATGAGGAACTTGGGCACAAGATCGATGTTCCAGTCATTCAGACGGCCATACTTCGTCCAGGGCTCCTCGCCCTTTGCGTAGTTGCCATACTTCTTGTAGAGCTGCGAGCAGATCGGGTTAGAACCCATGTCGACGGGAGGGTGGGGGAGAGTCGTGGATGTCATACCGTCTCGAGGTTAACTGAAGCTGCCTCACTGGTGAAGTTTAGCTGGGTTCTTTCTAGGCGAAAGGCCAGATCGTGGCCTCAAGGAGCGAGACTTACCCGCCATAGTGGTCGTTGCGGTCAATGTGGAGGACCTTCTTGCCCTTCACACTGAGAACACTGCGCGGAGAGACAATGATTAGCAGAGCACACACGGGCGGGCGATGGCGACGAGAGCTTGCTTACCCAGAGAGAACACACTCAGTCAGGCCTGGAAAGAGAAGACGGAGAGTCGACCAGTCAGCCAGGAAGCTCTTTCGAGCAGTCGGGAACCCCACAGGCCGACGAGCGACGATGCGGGGCAAATAAAGGAGGATGGCGTAACGTCACTTACCAGTGCCCAGCACGATGACATCGTATTCCTTTGCAATCTCATCCATGGTTGCGGCTGAGGGGTGTATGCGTGCGTGACGGTTGTTGTTAAATTAGAGTCAGTCGGTGGTTTCGCAGCAGAGGGAGAAGGGGAGAGAAAAGTATGAGGTGTTGGATGTCTGGAGAAGTAGTTGCGGTGATGTGTAGGGGAGACATGGGGAGCAACATGCAGCAAAGGAGGATCAAGTGGGGGGGCAAGAGCCACCTAGAAACAGTTGGGTTTTGGAGGGACATGGAGGGGTTCAGCACATCAAGCGTGTCACTGGGGGCCAGTGGCCAGTGGCCAGTGCCTACGCAGTATACTCGCCGGGGGCCCGTCCTGGCTCCAGTGTACCTCCAAATGGCCCATGCAAGGTCCGCTCTCCGCCCGCTCATTCTTACTGCAAACTATGCTGGCCACTTGCTCACCGCTAGCAGACTTGGACATGGACCGACCGAGGCCGCAAAGTTGCAAGTACCTTAGCTCAAATGGTACTTCGACCTTGCGCTGCTCTGCGTGTACTTGGCGCACTCGGCGGTGTGAGTGGGCTTGTCCCTGCTACAAGGACCCAGCTCCCGCCCTTCCCCGTCCCAGTTCTGTAACATTATGCGAATACAAGTCTCATCTCTTATTCAGTTTCTCTCTTATGCAAGACTTTCTGTAGATCTTATTCAATCCTTATTCAAATTGACCACGGCAAACGTTGCCGTCAAATCAAGCTCTGCGTCCCATTCGACAGTTGCAGGTTACCAGAGGTGTCAAGAGTGAGAATGATATCTTTGGAACGGCTTCCTTAATACGCTTGGCACAAAATATTCGTATCGTACAAGATTCTATACATGTCTGGATACAATGGTACATGACTCTCCCGTCTACGACCCTCGCGCTGAACGGGGAGACAATAAACAGCTACATGAGCTTCTCAAATCTTCGGCTTGGGCATCGCCGGCGCGGGCTTGCTTTCAACGGGCTTGCTGGGGTTGACCTTCTTCGCTGGGTGCGGTGGCTTGACCTTCACCTCAACCTCAGCCTCAGCCTCTGGCGTGACAGGCGCAGCTTCCTTCTTCTCTGCCTCAGGCTCAGCAGGCGTCTCGACAACTTGTGCCTCGATAACTGGTGACTCGACAGCCGCGGCCTCGACCTCCTGGGGGAGGTACTTGTTGGACTCTTCCGTGTTCTCGTATCCTGCCAACGGCGTGTATGCCTCACCTTCGCCAGAGAGATTGATCTCGGGGTCGTTCTCTGCCAACCTGCGCGCATCCTCCCAGAGGTAAAAGCGTTCGGTCAAGACGTGCTTGATCGCCTTCATCGTCGTGACAACCTAAAACAAGTGCCAGTCAGCAGCCATCTTCTAGAAGTCATGTGAGAGGCAAAATACGAACCGTCTCGTCCCTGTTGTTGGCCTCGAATCCTCCGAACCCGACTTTGCGTCTCTCACGTTCGAGGCTCGTCGTCGCAATGCGGTTCCTCTCCTTCAGACAGACATACCACAGCGAGTGGAGGTCTTCCCAGTTCTTCTTTCTCAGCTCATCCACCGTCCAAGCACGGCCGTGAGACTGGTCCTCTTTGGGCGTGTTCAAGAGCTTGTTCTTGCCGTAGAAAAAGTCCCAGAGCCCGTGGTTCGGGTCCGTGAGAACCTCACGCTTGTGGCTCGTCGGCTTGGGTACCGTCTCCCATGATACGGACAGCGGCTCACGAGGACCAGATCTCTTCATGGTACTGACACCTCGCAGGCGGTTGTTGTCGCGAGTCTTGCGCACCGAGTGCGCAGCCGAAGTCGAGAAGCATGCCGCTGCGGTTCGGGGTTGTGCGGCCGTCGTCGGCGTCGTGGGCAGCCATTGCCGAGTCTCCTGGAGGCGCAATACGCGACCTATCGATGGCCGCATCGCATTGGGGTTCGCCATCTCTGGCAATTGGTTTCAACGTGGGTGCTGGTAAGGATCACGAATCCCTTTCCTAGAGCTCGTACTATTTCGCCAGTTTAGAAATTTGGCAAAGCCTCTAGCCAATCACACGCTGGATTGTTGCGGCTGCGGGTGAACGAGCTACCGTGTGGGTCTGTGCGGCTGTCAAGCGTCCTCACAGACTTGTGGCTTGATCAGCTCGGGTGTGGCTTAATTGACAACTTCCTCTCCTTAACATCCCACGATCTCGCTGAACCCAAACTTCACCCAAAGCCTTTGCATCCTTACTCCTCTCTCTTTCGCCGGTTACAGATTCTGAAGGACTCCTAATTTGTAACGAGGAGATAGGTAACAGAGACCAGCGTTTTCCTTCTACCTACCTGAGTGTTCTTCCTCCATGTTGATCTCAACCCCAGCAACCACCTACCCCTGGATTGCTACGAGGGACTTATCGAGGAATGTACAAACGCAAAGGCGAAACACTTATTCAGTGTCAGAAATAATTGCAGAGTCCCAGAACCAAGTGTAGAGAGTAAATGAGCAGATAGCTCACGTGGCGAAACCAGGAGGTCGGCGATGGGCGATCAGCGGGCATCAAATTCCTCCAAGGCTTTTAGGAGCGTAACATAATCAATTTGCGACTTAGAAACTCACCGGTTGCTCATCAGACTTCCCCCAGAAGTTCCTCCCGTCGAAATCTCTCTTAATCGATGATCAAGGCCGTTAGAGTCAGTGACTACATCTTGTTACAAGTTGACATTTACGTCCCAGAGCGCCAGTCGATACTCAATATTCTTTATGTTCTACTCAGAAGGAATAGGATGAATATCAGACTGACAAAAGCACATATAGGCCCCGCCAAACCCATTCCTGTCACCAACAATAGCAGGCGCCTTCCTAGGTCGGTTAGTGAATCATCCTCGCCCCGATGGCCATAGGGGGCCCGTCCTTGTGTCAAAATAAAACAGGAATATGCAGACGAATACGCAACATCCACCACACCCCAGTACCCTCATATTCAGTCCCAGGGCCTCATTCGTCGACCAAGCCCAATCGATCCTCATGGTCGAGCGGTATAACGCCCTGGTCCGTTAGTACAGAACTTGGTGATGAAATCCTACGAAGTCTTCTCAGATGGAGGAATTCGTAGGGTGCCCAGTTCGATTCACGGACTGGGCACCTGAGCTTTTGATCTTTTTAACTTTTTGAATAAACTGGCTAGGTAATGGAATGGCCAAAAGTCGACAAACAATTACCCCCCTCCCCCAGCCTACTTTCGACTGGCTACGAGATCGAGTTCGCATCCGATCCCAGAATGAGCATCATAATAACCGCCAAGATATGTAGCCATACCGGTGGTGAACTCTTTGTTGCCCTCTCTGGTCATTCGGATGCCTCTGACTTACATGTTTTATTGCTACCTCACGACGGTTAGGCTCACAGCTGGAACATTAATTTCCCACATAAGCAGATACATGAACGTGTTTGATATATATGGAGGTGCAGAGAGAAGAAACTGGACATCTCGTCCCCCAAATCTTCAAGAAATTGCGCTGCAGCTTGTCCATTACCCAGAGGGTAGGGAGCGCGCACACTTGCCGTCTGGAGGCTCTCCCTGTGGCCATGGTGTTGTGCTCCCACTCACCTCACCACCGACAACCACAACCAGCTCCCATATATAGTTGCAGATAGTCATATATCTCAGCAATCGTCCTCATGTTCTCAATCTCGATAGTATGTATAGCTGAAGCCCTCGAGACGGGATTCTGTTCGCATTCTTGCCATCGACGCAAAGGTCTGAAATACCCAATCTTCCTTATTTTTTGAACCGCAAACGACGCCATTAACAGAATCCCCAGAGAGTAAATTGCGCAAGGTAGTAATTGGATGCTTCGAACAAAATGTTCCCACACCCCTTGAGCGCTTTATGTCCATCTCCGCGGCCACTAACTTACTGCGCTTACTTACCTTTGCACAAGGCTTTCCTCTCGTGACTTTCATATACGCCTTCCTCGAATTCAAAGAACAAATCATGTTTCTAAGAGCTCTGGGGTGAAATATTTACCTGTACTTCGAACAAGTGACGCACGCTTGCACGCTGAGATCACTCGCCCGTCTCAAGACCGGGCCTCCGGCGGACGTCATCCGCACTCCAGGACGGAAGCCTTGTGATACCATCACGCCGAAACCAATACGTTAAATTCGAAAGGGGAACGCAATGTAGAAAGGAACTTAAAAGTCTAGAAGACGGCTTTACACGCGAGCTCTGAAGGTTCAGGATCGTGGACAGAGGCTTGACGTGCCGTATGTCCCCACTATTTCCATCGCCCAAAGTTTCATCAGCCAATGACAATCAAGCTTTTCCAACATCAGAAATCCCGTCCCGTCAACTCATCCACGCAAAAAAAACTGCTATCCATCGCTACCGCCGCGTCCAACGTCCAGCCCTTGACTCGAACTGGATAGATCTCGCTCGTCTTGTCTCAATTCGCATCAAGCTTCCCTTAGTCCATCTTTGGATAATTCTTTTCAAAGACTGGGTTGGAAGCATCACACCTCTCTATCAGGACACCCCCTTAAACTACACACGCCAACAGCCCGCATTCTCTCAAAACCACCACCTCTCTTCTCTCTCTCTCCATCTCACAACACCCCTCCCCGGCCTCGCCATAGACCAGATGTTCAAGTAAGCTTAACCACACCCTGCCCCATCACCTCCCCCTCTGTCCCCTCTCTTCCCGTTCCTGCCCAACGGCCCCCAAACTCAGAAACCTGACCCCCCCCCCCCCCCCCCCCATTTCCCTTCCCATCCCCATCCCTATGACGCCAAGGAACCAAACAAACATAATACTTACAGCCCCCATCCCCCAACAGGGCATACAAGAACCTCACCCCAAAGACCCGCCTGGGCTTCGGCGTCGCGGTCCTAGCCTGGGGCGGCGCAGGTCTCTACTACTCCGACCGGGCCGAGGAGAAGTACCAGCCGACGCCCGAGGAAAAGGCCGTCGTCGACAAGTACGTGCCCAAGGTCACCGTCGTCGACAGGTCCTGAGTGAGCAGGCATCGTTCCCGGCGGAGGAGGACAGCCCGATTAGTTTTTGGCATCGAGGACCACAGACGGATGTTTGTAGAGCTGATGATGAGCATCGTGCGACCATTATCGACGTGGTTGCAAACAGGTTCACTGGATGTAAAGTAACGGACAAGGTGTTTAAGTTTGTACAGTCGAGTCGATTTCTGCAGTTTCTAATGTCTAAGTTCATGCTACTAGTTCAAAAGAACAATGGAAAAAACTGTGCTGGCAGTGGTGCCTCTGCATCTCGGTTGTTTTTCTTCGTTGTCGCGATAAAACAGAAAAAGAAAAAAAGCACGAGTACCACCCATTTTGAGGCATCTAACATTAGACCAGACCAGCCTAGCCACGCAAACCGCCGAAACAAGTCATTATGAGCGAAAAGCCATGAATAATCGTGACAACCTCGTCGGGCCACCGCTGGTGCCACCCGAGAGCCTCCCAAGTTCTATCTGATCGCAGTCTAATGCAGTGCCAACTCCACCTCCCCGTCTATCGCATGAAACCACCCGCCACAAGATGCATATCAGAAGTAACCACCGTCAATCAATCCGGCTTTGATGCAAGAGGGAATCGAGATGCTTTTCCGCAACAAAGCATATGAGTTGATGAGAACGGATCCGTGAGGAAACAAAACAGAAAAGATGAAAATGAGTAATAAAAAAAACGCCAACCAAATGCAGGTTTTTTTTTTGTAAAGTCAAAGCATGCCGCCGCCCGTTGTGCCGATGTTCGTTTGCACAGAAGGTATGCCTGGATCCTCCACCACCGCCGGAAGAGGTTTGAAAAGTCGTGCCATGTCGAGTGTCAGATTTGACACTCCAAAATCCTTGTCGATCTCTCCAACCGATCCCATATCCTCACCCCTAGACGCCCCGTCCGACATTACCCACGCCTTCACCGACTTCAGCAGTTGCATCACCTGCATGAAACGCGCATCCGATTCCATTTGCAGCTCTGATGTCCGAGTATGCTTCAATAGGTACTTTGCAAGCCAGTAGAAATGGATGCCGTCCCTAGAGAAACCATACCTACGGACGTTCCTCGCCGACCCAGGAGGGAATTGGTTCACCATGTCGGTATCCCAGTTGGTCTTGAACTTTTGCAGAGCCACGCGGAATGAATCGTGCACCTGTACCGGAATGCCCTGCAAAGCTGGGTCAACAGGTGTTGCTCTGCCGCTGGTGATGCCATTGTCTGATCCACCATTCACCATCCAATCGCTCATTGGTGGAGTCGCGTAACCCTTCATAACGGCACTACCGTCCAGTTGAGCTCGTCGGATCAAGGACAGAATGGCGTGTATCATGATGAATTTTCCGTACAGATTCGTCCTGCCTGGCTGAATCTGGTAGGATCCGTGAAGCAAAGCTTGGAGAGCATAGTCCATTTCCGGTTGCTTGCTGCGCCGTGTGCCGTTGGGGTTCTTTTGCTGTGCCAACTCGTCTCCGTGTAAGCCCAGAGCATCTTCGCAATCCTTCTTCGTCCGTGCGTCCCACGCTGCATCATCAGATGGCAGCGGGATGTGCATCTCGAAGCTGTCGAGTTGAGACTGGGCGTTGAAATAAAGTTCCATGGCGGAGTTGCAGAGGAAGATGATGTGCATCAGGCGTATCCGCTTTTCCTGTTCAACCCACACACCCCAATCGAATGTGGAGACGTCGTAGTTCTGAGGGGTAAAGTTGCTCTGGTGCAGCGGACTGAAGAGGGGCATGCTGGTGGAGACCTCCAAGAGACGAAGACGACGAGTCTGCTCCGCCATGGCTGGGAAAATCTCACGAGCGCTCTCACGATGCTGTGGCGTACTATTCCAGATCAGCAGAATTTGGAGCAGCATCACAGCCTGGAGTTGCTCAAGGTCCCGGTGACCGTTACTTGAGGCACCAGCGTCAGCGTTACCATTCTGCTGTTGGCCCACCGAGTTGGCCAAGAACGGCACGTCGCGAACCAGTGCGGACCTGAGGAAATTCATCATGTCGCGCAAGTGATCTGGGGAAAGACGGTCAGAGTAGCAAGCGCCCATGCAGCACATGCCAGCCAACAAGCCTGTATAGGCTTCCATGATACGGAACGTGGGTGTATGGAGAATGGGGAAATGGACATGGAAATGAGTGTACTTTTCCAAGAAATCGCGTATGTTTTCGGCGGAGAAGTATAGGTTGAAGCCGGCGCTTTCGTCGGTAATCGGGGAACCTGGAGGGTAAAAGAAGTTGAGGATCTGGTTGGAGAGATGGGTAAAGGGATCTTGGATCGATGGCGGCACGTCCCAAGTCGAGAAAAATAGAGAATCGGGGTGGTTTGGGTGGTCAGGCGGACCTTCTGTACTTTCGACGCCGGTATTAGGCTCTGGTTTGGTTGCGATCTGCGTCTGTCCAAGATTAGGGGGGAATTGAGTATGATTTGCGTAGGTTTGTTGCGCACCAGCCTGGAACATTTGAGACCAATCAAGGCCCGATTGTTGGTTCGAGTTCGACCCGCCATACATGGACATTCCATTTTGACCCGGGGGCATATTGTAGTTTTGCATCTGTTGATTCATATTGGGCGTCATGGAGCTAGGGACATTGCCGTTGTATGCCTGCTCGAAGTTGCCACCTCGGCCAGAAGCATCCATGACAGAACCTGTCAAATCCCGTCTGTCTTGGTTACTGCCATTATCAAGCCTAGTCAGGCTGCTGGCGCGCGACAACTGATTCTGGTCGTTTGCCAGGTTGTTCATCCCGTCCGACACAGGCATCATACCAAAAGGCTGAACCATGCCATCCGCAGGCATGTTACCCAGACCATTGAGGTGGTTCAGACCGCCATCCTGACCAAGAGCTGCCTTCTGCTGCTGCGCAGCGTTCTTCTTGACATGAGCCTGAGGGTGAGACAAGTGACTAGCACCAGTCGGGTTACCTCGGCGAATGGAGCACTTCTGGAAGTGACGCTTGAGAATGTCACTTCGCGAGAAAGTATCGCGACACAGCACACACATGTAGGGGCGGTCGCCCGTGTCTATGAATCATCCGTGTCAGCTAGGGGGATAAGTTGCGTGGGTTAGTGGGTTATGACTTACGGCGCAGGAGATGGCGCTTCAAGTGCTTCGCGTGCAAGTAGGTCTTGGTGCAGTGAGGGCAAGGGAACTTGCCATCGGCATCCTTGACCGGAATGACGGTGCTCTTGGTGTTGCCAGCGCCAGCGGGAGTGGCGGCAGGGCGGCCAGGAGCGCTGGGGAGAATGCCACGGCGACCCTGAGAGCCGACGACATGTGTAGGCTGATCGGCGTCACCCATGCCACCGGGCATGACACCGCCAGGGCCGTAGGGAGAGTTCATACCGGGCTGGGGCATGACACCACCGGCGGGCATGGGACGCAGGATGGGAGGGACGCGTCCAGACGCGGGAGCAGGCGCGATGGGCTGCGGGTGAGAAGAAGCCATCGTGGTCTGGGGCAGCATGGACTGAGTGCCGTAGGCCTGGGGCGGGGGAGGATACTGGCCCATCTGCTGGTAAGGACCGCGGGGCTGCTGTTGCTGCTGCTGCTGCTGTTGAGGCTGGTACGGCGGCATGTTGTTCTGGGAGCCCGGAGTGTTGGGAGTCGCAGGAGTGCGAGGAGTGTGAGGGTTGCTGCCGTACATTTGGTTCATGGCGGCGGAGGTCTGCGGCTGCAAAGGCGGCAGAGTCTGGTGAGGCAGCGGGGAGTTGGTGTGCTGAAGTTGATGAGGCGTGATGGCGGGGGGCGACGGGTAGGAGGCCGACGTCGTGTTTATACCATTGGTAGGGTACTGGGAAGCGTCCATGCTATCCGCGGCAGGTCTGTTGGCCTTTTGTCGAAACAAAGGCGCACAGAGCAGCTTGCTTGTTGCGAGATCAAGACGCGTTCTCACGTCTGTACGTACGGGACTCGTCGAGGGTCTCGTGTAAAAAGTTTTGTGGGACAAGGACAGTCAAGTCGCCGACCCGGTTGAAGATGATGCTGCAGGGTGAAAAGAAGTAAACTCGAGTGTAGTGATGCACAGTCGAGAAGTTCTTCAGGATAAGCTTTCCGCCAGACGAATGAAGGAAGTCGCGAACCCAAAGAAGACAACACGCGCAGAGAGGTGTTGTTTGTAAGGTGGACTTTCTGTGGTGGGATGAGGCTCCAGTTGATCCCGTTTGGAGGTGGTTTTGGGGAGGGTCGGGAGTGGAGCAGATGGGCCCCGATCCTTTTTATTTTTTTCTCGCGTTGCTGTTCGGCAAGAAAAAAAAAAGCTGTCAGGTACCTGGCGCCGCCGAAAGGGGGGTGTTGAAGGGGAGGGGGTATCTGTACGTGGGAAGGAAAAAGTGGTCTTGCTGGGGTGGGTGCCGAGGGTGTGCGAGGCAGGAACCGTTGAGCAATGGTCACTCCTTCCAAAGAGGTGGAGGGGGGAAAAAAGGGAAGAAGTGGATTTGGACGTCGCCCCTTCTGGGAGGAGTGGATCCGGCTTGGTCTCTATGGAGGGCCTTTTTCGGAGAAAGTGTGGGAGGTTGGCCGTTGGTCGGAATCCTGGTTGACGGATAATGGATCGGTAGGAAGGGAAAGGTGGGCAGGAAGGAGACCAGGGTGGGACGGTGTGTACCGGTGGATTCTTCTTCCTTTTTGTGCAAGGAAGGCACGAAGGGTAGGATACTCCGATACAGTACGGTATTGCTGCAGGTGTCTGGGAATGGCAAGTACTTGATGTTTCTGCTCAAGTTGTCTAGTACCTAGGTAAGAGATGACAAGTAGCCTCGAGTGCTTGGGTAGCAGAGAATTTCTCGAGAAAGACTTGGCCAAAGCAGAACAAGAAAGTTGGAGGTCACCGCGGTCCAAGATCAAAGCATCTGAGTGAGGTGCGGACGGCTGGACAGTACAAAAATTTTTGGGGGGTGTGTGTGTGTGTGTGGATGGCGGATGCAAGAGAGTGAAAATCAGTGTGGTGGGTGACTGGGAAGGTGTGGGAGGTGGACGTGGGAGGGTGACCCGTTTTGCTTCTTTCCTTTTTTGCACTCAATCCACTTTGGGGCTGAGGTAATAAATATCAGAGGATTTGCCGGATTGTTGCTTGTGTGTCCCGTTTCGAGGACTGATTCTCAGTGATGGAATTTTGGTCGAGTCAGAGTCAGCCGTGCAGTCAAAGAACAGGTCAGCGGCAGATTGATGACGAAGACGAAGAAGAGGCAGGGCCCAATGGGCAGAGAAGCGGGATGTGGAAGGCAAAGGTAGGAAATTCCGAAAGAGAAGGAAATTTTCCCATGCACACCTACACGCAGAAGCAAGAATAAATTACGCAGACAGCCCAGGACCGCGCAAAAGAAGAAGAGAGACGGGGAGAGACCGCGCGACAGTCTGCTGCGCAGCAAGCCAGGAAGGTACAAGCACCCATGTTCCTTCCTGATTTCCAAGGGCAATTGAGAAAATTTCGAGGAAGCGCCTGCCAATGCCTGCGTCGGAGACGGTTGTTGTACACAGGGCGAGCACTGTATGGTCAGATCTACTGCGTACGGGTACCTTGGGTACGCAGTAGAAGCAGAGACGAGGCCCTTGAGGAATACCTGAGGACGAGGTACGCGATTCAAGAGACGGTGGTGTGTGCTGGGAAACAGACACACGGGAGGGAATGGGAGAAAAAGGTGAGGTAATGCGAACTTGGGTGCTTGGTTCGGTCGACGTCCATTGTGCAGGCGAGTGTCAAAAATCGAACTAGCTGCACCTAGTAATCCATTCATGTCTGTTCGCCTGAGGAAGGCGGTACGGAACAAGATACCTGCCCGAGGGAACCTGTCAGTATTTGTACAGGGTTCACGCCTAACGTTACCGTGGTCTGCCAACAGGGCGGTGACGTGAACCCTTTCTTTTTTAACACCCTTTTCCCTTTCGACCTGAGGTGCACGCGGTCTCGCAGCTGGGATAAGGTGCCTCGTCAAACGACCGTATTTGCGCTGTCCAGGTCCGGAATGAGCAGGTACCTACGCAGGAGGTAAGCCTGGGTGCGGTATTAGTTTGGCGCTTCGCAATGAGAGAAGACCGGCAGAGAGAAGTAGAAATTGACGGGAGAGAGAAACAGGCATAGCATTGTCAAGGTCTGCATTAGATCGGCTGGGCTATGCACTGCTATATTATTATGCTCGACGCTGCCATTTTCAACTCGACTCTAAACGGTCGGTTGTACCTCTTTTTTTTTTTTCTGTGCGCTCTGCTCTAATCTATTTACCTCGCCTCACCGTATGTACATCGTGATTGAGTAGCGAGTAATGATCGAATGGTCTAGTTGGTGTCAAGTCACTTGTCTCACCGTCTGCTTTTACCGCAATATCAGTCTAATTCCCCGAGCAATGCTACATGCCTTGCGTTAGGTTCATTTTTAAACGCTGTTCCAATTCTCCAGGGAAACCCTCCCCTGGATGGTATCTTATGACCTCAGCCTTCACAGCTCCTCAAGAAAGTCGCAAAACCTAGGACGGGGCATTTAAACTTTCTCATCATTACCATCCAGATGACAATCTTGTGCACGATTTCAGGGAAGCAAAGGTGGCAGCAGACAGGCTGGTACCTTGGTGGTTGTGTACAGAGTTCCATACGTCTCTTCAAGACAGTTCTCCTGCGGCGTTATCATGCCATGCCAACCATGCCGTGCTAAGCCAAGGTGGTAGCGTCTGCCTGTCCGCCTTCCTTGCTTGAGATGCCCTGCCCTGGCGCTTGCCATGTCTTTTTCATTGCCAGTTTGCCGTGGGCATGGGCGGAGAGAACTCCGCATCCGCACACCTTCCTGAAAATGAAACCGCATTCGAGCAAAAGGACTGGCACGCTGGTTCACTGCACCTGCACCACTGTGTCGTGTCGCATTGTATTGTATTGTATCGTAAGAGCCTGAGGTGATTGGGGGAGGGAAGGCACAGTACGGATATTCTTCGTAGTTTCGTACTCGTCGTCCGTACTTCGTACTCGATGCTATCTGTGCCTGCCGAGCATTTGTGGTTCCTTCCTTGTCGACTAGGGAGATGAAGTTGCTCGAGTCTTGTCCCGGTTTTGTTTCCCTTCTTCGAATTCTTCCAATACTTCCACGACCCCCCTTTTTTTCCCACTTCCTTTGGTCCCCGTCCTGGTTGTCGTTCCTCGTGCGCCTTTGCCCCGAACCAGCAAGAAAGCACCCACCACCCTTCCCAGCCCCCGGGTTCAGGAAGAGTACGTCTCAAGTTGGTACTCTGTCACTCTGTGTAGAACATTTGCCCTAGCCAGGCAGTGAAGGTGACCTTACCACAATTCCCGCCGCGTAGAGCTCCATCTACCTCCCCCCTCCCCCAGGGCCTAGCAGTGAACAGCGTCCACCATCGCATACCTTACCTTACTTCGTAGGCCCACACACCCCGAACTATCCCGTCTGGCACTACCGCCGTGCCGCTGTGGTTCCCACGCTGGCACGTTGTTGGCGGTGTCGTCCAGTGGCTTCTCCCCTAAAAACAGACATGCCCTGTGCAGACTGCAGCATGCACTCCCGCGAATGTGGTCCTAGTCTCCCACCTCATGGCCATACTCCTCTTGATTCCCATCAGCGGGAGTGAGGCAAGTACGGGTTCGGAGGTTCCTTCCCCAAGCCCAAGAAACACACAAATGTGAAGTATCCGCCAGAAGGAGCAGCCGCCCGCCATCTTGACCCCTCCTCGTCCCTTCCCGTCACGGCGTCGACCCCAAAAAGACCCCCCTCCCTTCCCAACTCCCGTTTCTTCAGGATGAGGATACCGTACGTGCGTGGGTGGATTCCAGATTGGATTCCACCTGCAGGCCAGCACGCGCCAGCAGATGTGATGAACCCTTATTCTTGTCTCAATGCTGCCAATTGCACTTCAACATATCATACTATATCGTGACGTTCTCTCACCACCATCACAGCCAACGCACAGCTACTCGAAACAGTGTCATCCTCTCGGGGCCCTGCTGGCACTCCGTATCTCGGCCTTCCTGGATGCCGCCCGTCTGTTTTCTTGTTACAATGCACTTGACACACCCACGACACACGATACACGCGGTTGAATCGCTCCAATTCGTCTTCTGGCGGCCTCTCCTACACCCAAAAGACGCCGGGAAAGCACTCATCGTTACGTCAACCCCTGTTAATCCTAGCATCAGCGCGAGCTTCGTCGCTCTTTCACATCGCTGACAGCCTGGACCATCCATGTCGCACCGCCCAAGTGGCCACACACAAAGATCAGAATTAATTTCGACGACACCCACACGGGCTCTCATCACCGACATTGACGCTTGACCAACCTACCATACAGATTACAAACCATGCCACTCTGTATTACTCTGTACAGTACACACGGAAAACCCGCCGCTTCCAACGGTTCATAGCCATGGGTGTCCCTCCAATTGGGCAAGGTAAACGTCTCTAACCATGTTCGCCCAAAATTGATGAGACGATTGCCAACCCTGCAAGCGTCACGACCGCCGCACGCGAATCGACGTGGTATCGTTACTCTGCAGTCCGGCCACGGCACGCTCAATGTATGGGTACCTGAAAAGGGCAGGGCAGGGTAGGGCACCTTGCTGCCCACTGCGTTGCTCGCCGCCTCGAGATCCGAGGTATCCGCCAGCTGCATCTTACGAGGATCTGCCCCTGCTCTGTGGATGCACCAACCATGCAGACGCTCGCTGGGCGTGGGATACTGGGCGACATTCATACCTCTCTTCTCATTCGGGAACTCTTCTTGGCGGGACCTGCTGTCTGTCTGCTGCAGAACAAAAACACCCGCCAGGGATGTGGCTGCATACGCGGTACATTAAAACCGCGCACAAGTCAACCTTGATCTCATCTTCCTAGACGTACGGATATACAGGCGATGGTCGGCTCGTTCTGACATCCCGACTGTGCAGCAGCAGCCTGCACGTGAGAGAAATAAGAAACCCATACTCCGTAGGGTGGTTTGGATATACGTCCGGTGGCCGGAGTGCGGACGAGCTCCGAGCGGCCTACCTACTCGACATATGGCCCATGGGTCGACTCAATCTTGACAGTCCAATGCGGCCGGCATCACGCCGGTTGCACAAGTACGGATACATCACGACAATATACAAGTAGCGGAAAGCAGAGTCTTCGGGGCCGATTACCGACCAAATCACCATGAACCTCCACGCCAAGCGTTATCAACGAAGCTCCTGGCCTCCAGGAGCATGCAGGGTCACGCTGCTACGAACACGAATCGTCTGGCGCCGTCAAAGAATAGATGGGCGATGGCTTCTGATGGACTAGAATAAAGCGTACACTGCTCAGGGTGATTCGCTACGGCAGTTCACAGCAGGCGTAACCGCCGCACCCTCCAAGTGATTACGCTTCCTTCACTTCGACAGTATGACGTATGTCAAAATCCAGTGGCATGTTCTGTTGAGGGCAATGTTCGGACACCAGGGGCCGAAGCGTCACAATCACACTCTGTATTCGTACTGTGCAAGATCAACCATGGTGAGCTGATCAGCTGTCAAATATTGTCAACAGTCCCTGCCACTCCGTCCGTTTTGTGCACTTACTGATCGCTACAAGCATGAATCAGCTTGGTATGGCCATCTATTACTCGGGCTTCGCAAGTTTACCGTCACCTATCGTCCAAAACTACTGTTTCGAGCCATCATGCCATCCAGCCTTGGAATTACACGATGGCCCAGCACCAGCAGTGGCAATCACCTTGGAAACAAGGCAATCCCTCGTTCGTCGAGCTGAACACCCGAGTCCAGAAATTCTATAGAACGTCCAGAAACCCAGTGGTTCGAGGGCTTTGAACTAAGGAGGCTGGGCAAACCTTGCTACCACGCTACTTGTCCTGGGTTTTCCGGTCCTGTCCCAGGGAGAAGGGGGTGGTAGCGTGCGATAGTGAAAGATTAGAACGGCCGCTGGGAAAGCTCTTGATGATCAGAAGACACGATATCAAGGTCTGCTGTCCATCCCCCTTGGCGCGCTCATGGCCAGGAGCCAAGGTATACACTACGGTTCCATGTCTTTCTTGGCATAACGATACGGAAAGCTCAGGATCAATATCGCGTACAATCACCCGTTCTACGAAATACAGTATCACAGTATGAATCCTTCACCGGTTCAGAGGACGAGCAATTGCCGTCGGCAAATGGCTACGTACCTCTTTTTGCCGCTTCTCCAGACATACTGTGTGCGAGGAATACAAGGCTACTGTTACCTCATGACGGATGTTGGGATGTTGTGCAGGATCCACGAGTCAAGCGAAACGGCCCCAAAACACACATTTCCCTACAGTTAAATCGGACTTTGGCCGAGTCACCGCTTCGCTGTCAGCAACAGTCGCCTATGTCCGACCGACCGTCTATTATGGCGCCCGCCTGTCAAATGCCGGCTAGTTTTCGTGGCATCAGCACCGAGGTTGAGAAGGATGAATGGAAATGCACAGGCACCACCACGGAAAAGAATGTCTGAAACATGTCTACAGTCGTCAGTTCAATCAACAGTAGTCGCGGCATGGACGTTTCTTTTGGATGCCCCAAAGAAGAGCCAGAAGAGCCTCACGCCCCATCTCTACCCGCGCCCGCCGTCCAATGGGCAGCTTTCGCATCATTTTCACAACGGGACGGGGCCATCTCAGATGATGGAGAACGGGGCACAGAGATCGATCTCACTGGACCCATCTCAACCATGACCACAAACTCCTTTTGTTGCGGGCTGCAGATATCAGAAAGCGACAGCTCGATTGACGTCGTGGCATGGAATGCGAAAAGCCCAAAAAGAATGTTCAACTTTGGCAACCCAGTTCAGCATTCCGCGACCTGACTCGACACGACACATGTCGCATACAGCGGAAACGCTTTTTCCCCCTGAGTGTCGACTTTGGT